GGGAGGAAGTGGGAGGGGAGCTGCTGCGTTGTAAATTTTGGTCAATGACATGAGACAAAGTATATGTGAACTGCTGTATGAAAAGTGAATTTACTGTGTAAATCTTCACCCAAATCCTAATTAAAAAAAAAACAAAAAAAAACCACATTTGCTATTTTAAGCCTTGAGAGGATCCCTCCTTAGAGATTCCAATTTATTTTTCCTATCATGGAATCACAGAATTAGTTGTTGTTGTTGTTGTTTTCCCCCTTAAATCTTCTAGATGAGTCTAACGTGTAACTAGGATGGAGAACAAGTTGTTTGTAACTTTTATATGCCCAATCCTGCATCTATTTTCCTAAAACTATATTATATATATATTTTATTGAAATCAAGTTCAAATAAATTTATGAACTATAAACTCACTGAAAAATTAAAACATATTACTCCATTAGTAGAACTCCACTAAGATATAAAAATATTCTATGTAAGATATTAATATAGCAAAGTGTTCATTTTTGAAGTTTATTCACTTAATTCCTCTTTTTTAATGAAATTAATATTTTGAATACAGCATTTACAGTCAACACTCTCTAGGACTTAACAGTATTCAAAATAATTTTAACAAATAACTTTTTTTAAAGGGATAAATTTGCTGTTAGTACATTTCACTGTAATCTTCATTTGAAATTGTAATCATGTCGGCTACTTACTTGGATAGATGGGTTTCAATCCAATTAAATGCTCTTGCTGTAGGGGAAAAAAAAAAAAAAAAACATAACACATTTGCTATTTAATAAACCAAAAACTCCAAACCCACTGCCATTGAGTAGACTCTGACCCACAGAAATCCCCATTGTGTTTCCCAAGCTGTAAATCTTTATGGAAGTAGATCACCCCATCTTCCTTCTGTGGAGCAGCTAGTGGGTCTGAACCACTGACCTTCTGGTTAGCAGCCAAATGCCTTATCCACTATGCCACCTTTTGCTATTCTATGGAGGACCCCAAAGGTGATACTCAAAGCACTGAATTACCATAACTGCTAGGCGCTGGGCCAAACCAACCTGAGGCCAGCTATAAGCAATTGGGAAATCCAGCCATACATGTATGCACCAGCTGCATATAGCCCTGGGGCCAATAGTCCCACCTGTTCAGATTAGTGTCATCCCATCACAGGACCTCAGTCTGTTGTGAGGGATGGTGGATGCTGCAGTGGTAGAGATTGCTATAGGAATGGGCCCTTGCCACCACACTACGCTGCCCACAGGGACCTCTCAGTTTAGTGATCCCTCAACTGACTATGGCTGCCAACTCTGGTGAATGCATTTAATTGTCCAGATAGGAGACTAGGTAATGAGGATAAAGTGAAAACAAGACAGACACATCCTACCCTTATGTTGCTGTTGTTAGGTGCCATTGAGTTGATTCTGACTCACAGTGACCCCCTTCTGGAGCAGAACTGCCCCATAGCATTTTCTTGGCCGTACTCTTTACAGGAGCAGATTGCCAGGTCTTTCTCCCATGGAGCTGCCGGGTGGGTTCAAACTGCCAGCCTTTCAGTTAGCAGCTGAGAGCTTAACTACTGAGTCACCAAGGTATATGTAGTATCTATAATGTATTGTAACCATAGTAATCATTTCACATGTGTTATCTCATTGAATTGTCATTTAATCATTACCCAATCCTTTTACAGGCAAGGAGACTGAGGCTCAGGGAAATACGTAACTTACCCAACATCACACAGTTAATAAGAGGTGAAACTCACCCGACCTCAAAGACTGCTGGTGTCAGCCTGTGCTGTAGAGCTGTTTGGGGCTCCCTAGAGGACAGACTGTTCTCAGCCTGAACCTCTCATTTCTTCTCCAGGTGACAGTCTGACCTATGAGATCAGGAACAGGAAGAGTGAGAAGGAAGAGGAAGCCATGGATGAATGGATTGAGGTGATGGAGAAAGTACTGCCTCTCTCCCTCATTGCCACCAAAGGAGGCATTGAGTCTCTCATTTCCCTTTGCTCCACTCTTATTGAAGAACAAAAGAAAAAGACACAAAGTAGGTTCTGGGAGCACCTGGGAAAAGCTTTGTGGGGGTGGGTGGATGCTGTCTCAGGGAGAAAGTCACACACTGGGGTGTGAGGGGTCTCTCCAACCTTCCTCTGTAACAAAAGCTTTACCTGAGATGGTTGAGTAGTGAGAGGGTAGTTCTGACCTGTACCTCAGGGACAAAGGTAGAGGTGATGTGCATATAGGTCCCTGTGAGTATTCCCTGGAGCTGTGGCCTCATTGGAGTTCTGGGGAACAAGGCTAGAAGACAAGGAATGCTAGAGTTTGTAGCTAAAACCTGAGGAACATTCTTTATTCACTCCCAACCCAGAGGTAGCACCAAGGAGTTTGGTGATGTTCAGCAAGACATTCTTCCAGAACCCTGGAGACTGTTGCTACTTGAGAGTCGGTCAACAGCATGGCTGAACTTTGGACCTTCTCTCCTATCAGCCCGAGGAAGGATCTGAGATTATCCAACTCCCACAATTTGCAGGAGAGAAAACTGAGAAAGTTTCCCTACACATAGGTTTTCTAGCTTCTCAGTCTTACTCAAGAGCATGTGCTTTGGAGTCAGATAGACCTGAGTTTGAATCCTGTCTCTGCCAATTTCTGGCTGTGTGACTTTAGGAAAATTACTTCATCTCTCTGAACCTCAGTTTCCTCATATGTAAAATGAGGAAGACACTGTCTACCTGTAGCATTGTGGGGAGGCTTCGACAGTGTGAGTCATCAAGCACCATCCTTGTAACATCCTCAGAACATGCTCAGGGCTTAATAAGCACTAGCTAATCTAATGTTAGTGTTTTACCATTCTGGTTCTCATTGGCCAGGTTAATTATCAGTTATGAAAAGTGAATTAGTGGGTCAGGAGAGAGGCAGGGAAAGGTAGATGAGAAAGAGACAATCTCTTCTACAATCTTTGCCGTATTATGTCTTATAATATAGTTACCTGTAACATAGTTATTTGACTTATTTCCTTGTGAGATTATAAATTCCTGGAGCGCACAGGCTGTAACACAGTCATTTCTTTTTAAGAATTAGTTATTGAGCACTTACTAGGTACCTGGTACTGTACCTAGCAAGAATCCAGGATCCAGTTAAGTGCTATGAAGTCGATGATATGATTATTCCCATTTTTCAGATGAGGAAACTGAGGCACTGAGAGGTTAGGAGACTTGTCCAAGGCAAGTGGGAAGGATGAGATTAAGCCCAGGTTACCTGATTTGAGAGTCCAACTCCTTAACTGCTAGGAAATATGGCTTCCCTGATAATAATAGTTAGATGCTAGCTTGACTTCAATGGCACTTAATTTCCATATTTCCTTTGGCTCCTCATCCAAAGTTACTCGCTATATTTTCTGCCAGTGATGTCTGTTGAATGGGCAAATGAATGGGTACTCCAAGGCTAGCATTCCACCAGCCACACATAGTAGGTCTGTTGTTGTTGTGTTATGTGCTGTCGAGTCAGACCCGACTCATAGCAACCCCTCCTTGGGCTTCCAAGGGAGTATCACTACGAAAGTAGATTGCCCCATCTTTCTTCCGAGGAGTGGCTGGTGGGTTTGAACTGCCAGCCTTCTGGTTAGCAGTCAAGTGCCTTAGGCACTAAGCTACCAGAGCTCCTCATAGTAGGTCTAAGGGGATACAAATATGAGCAAGATCCAGCCCTTGAGGAGCTAAGTGTTATGAATGGACTTGAGCACAGCACACACATTCTGTGTCTATGTGCATATTCTTAGGTAGAGAATCCACGCTTTTTTCAGATTATCAAAGGAGTTCAGAAGCCCCAAAATGGAAAAAAAGACTAATTTTAAAAAAATAAATGAGTAACATGCAAACAGTTATAGGACCCGGTGATAAATTCTCTACAAACACAGTCCAATGGTAACAGAAAAAGCAAATGAAGCTTCCTGGGTTTTTTGGAATGTTAAGTGTCAGGTGGGCTTCCAGAGTTTAGATATTGGAAACAGGGATCCAAACATAGATGTTGAGGCTAGGAAGTGGCATGATCAGAAAAGTAACTACTCCAGGGGAATATGGTAAATCAGGAGGATGTTGAATTGAAGCAAACTAGATTGATTAGTCCCAGGCCCCTCCAGACCCTGTGGTTCTGTGGAGCTGGCAAAACTTGAGAGGTAGACTCTAGCATACTGTGGGCCTGGCAGAGATCTCTTCTGACACCACTTCCCTGTCCTCAGCACAGCCTCAGCTCCTTATTCTTGCCAAATCCCTAAGACAGTTGGATGGGAATTTTGGCCAGGCAGGGTCTGGAGAATCAGTATAATCCTTGAGTTCCATGGGAGCTTCTTGCTTTTGTTTTCTCCACCCTTCCCAGCATCCAAACATACTTTCTGGCAAGGCTGGCGCAACAAGAGCCCACAAAAATCTCCACCAGAACCTCAGCCACTGAGCCCAGAGCAAATGCTCCAGGACAAGCAAACCACCTACACAAATGTCTCCGAGGTGAAAGACATGCTGCAGGAGCTCCTGGACTCCACCATGTTCAACAAGGGGGAGGTCAGGGCCATTAGGTACATGTCTGCTGTGGTGGAAAACCTCAACAAGGCTTTGATACTCCAGCATAAGGAGAACAGGACCCTAGAGACCAAATATAGATACATGAAAATAGAGATGACCAAAGAGCTCAGCAGCCAGAGGCTGTATTTCCAAAAGTCTATCAAAATCCTTGAGAATAAGAGGGATGCCCTTCTGAAACAGGTAGAAATCCTAGGGGAAAAGTACCATGACCTCCTACTGGTTAAGCATGCCTTAGAGTTCCAACTGAAGAAGGCGCAGAGTGCTAGAGGTCAAGCAGAAGACTCGGTCAAGACTTTTGTTGACTCCCCAGGTCCCCCAGAGAAAGAGACTCTTCCAAAGAAAGAAATTGTTACGGAGCTCCCAACAAGAATCTTGGTCTCTCAACAGGAGTCCAAGAAGGAGGAGCAATTGTTTTTACCACATTCTCCAAGTCCCATGGCCAGGGCCTGGGACAGTGATGATACATCTTCAGTATATCAGCCACTGTCCACCATGGCTACACATTCAAGGATTGCAGATATGTACTGCAGTGAGGACATTGAAAGCCTTCTACCTGCACTGCCACCCTCAGTGGATTACAAGTTTCCTAAGACAGGGGAAAGACTGGTGGCAGAAAGCCCAGGCCACAAAGATGAAGACCAGGAGGATCTCTTCCAGGAAGAAGCCCAGGAGAAGGGAGAACTCCAAGTTAAGTTCCATTTTAGGAAGCAGCACTCCCCAGAGAACTCTGGGAAGGCATCTTCAAAGAATGAGGAGGGGCACTGGGAGGAGGAACACTGGCAGAGGCGGAGGCAGCAGTGGCTGGAGGAGGAGGAAATGTGGCTGCAGCGGCAGAAGAAATGGGCTCTGCTGGAACAGGAGCACCAAGAGAAGCTGCGGCAGTGGGAGATGGAGGAGATGGTGAGGGAGCAGCAGCAGAGATTTGTCCAGCCAGAAAAGGAGCAAGGGAGCCCAAGAAGGGAGCCAGAGCAGCCAAGAGAGGACACAGAAAGGATGATCTTCATGCCCATCAGTCGATGGAGGGAACTGCAGACGCCAGAGCCTCCTCCAAGCCGGGTCCAATCTGCTTGCCAAGGCAGGAGGTCATACTTGCCCAGGTCCCCTAGTATCCAGCAATCTGCCACAGGAAGCCAGAGGATCATGAGTTCAGCAGAGCCTGCCCCGAAACCACGGACACCCCGGGTTCCCACAAAACCCAAGAAATCAGCCTCCTTTCCTGTTACTGGGACAGTCACTCGAAAAGTGACCCGGCCCTCTTTGCAGATATCTTTGGTAGTTCGTAAGGAGAAGGTGTACCGGATGGACATAGAGGCCCAGAGGAAGAACCTAGAGCTCCTGAGCAAAGGGGCTGAGTTGGGGCTGCCCCATTACTTGCACAGCAAGGCCTTGGAGCTCACCACCACCACCATGGAGCTGCATTCACTCAGGCTGCAGTACCTATGCCATAAGTACATCATCTACAGACACTTTCAGACACTCCGGTAGGTCGGGCTCACCCACCACCAACCAGGCACCCACCTACACCCACTGCAATGTGCAGACAGAGCCAGAACCCAACAGGAGAGAAGATCACAGGGCAAGGGAGAACGGGGAGAATGGCCCCAGGCCTGGACAAGGTCTCCCTGAGGGAGGGAACTGGCAAAGGATACCTAGCATCAGGGCCTTGAGCAACCCTTGAAGGTATGGGAGGTAGTACACTTATACATTGGTCTCCCTATAGTGAACTTTTCCTCTAAGCCCACTTCCCTATTCCTTTTTCTGTTCCTATCACCCTGTCCATAACCTAACATGCACTCCCCATTTTGCTTTACTTTCTCTTCCTCAAGACTCCTCATCTAATCCTACCTCCTGCTTCCCTCCTCCTTATTTTCCCCAGCTCTCGCCTATTTCTGTTTCTCTTATTGCTCCCAGGAATTACAAAAAAACAGAGTCATCCCTGATTAATTGATTTGGGAGGTTGGAGGAGACCTTTCCACCCAGTAATAACTTATTCTCACTTCCCAGACAAGAAGTGATCAACCATATACAAGTCATGCAAATAACTGGTATTACCTACAAGGCCCAGCGCCTCTATGTCTTCCTGGAAAACATAGACCATCTACAGAACCTTAGACTGCAGACCTGGACAGACAAACAAAAGAACCTAGAAGAGAAGCGCCGAGAGTGTCTGAGCAGCATGGTGACCATGTTCCCCAAGGTGGGCCTCCTGTCCTGTGACTTCTCAGTGTCAGCAAAGGAAGCACAGCCAGTTGGGATGGAACTAGTGGGGATCTGAGGGTGTGACTTTGGCTGAGGCAGGTGGGAAAAAAGGGCACAGGTTAAAGCCTCTGAACCATAGGTGAAGGCAGAGGGTGACCAGAGTATAAGAAGGACAACTTTCTCCAATCCTGAGAGAGAGGAATCCTTCAAAAAGCTATGGAAGAAAAGACCCTCCTTGAGGGATTGGGATAGCTGGGTCCTTCAGTGTTTTCTTCTGGAATTCCCCTGTGGTTATGTCTGCCTTGCTCCTGGCTTGCTCTCCAGACTTAGTGCATGGCTGTCATCTTGGGACCAACCTTCACCCTCATGCTGGTGACTCACTTTCCTTCTCTCTTGAGTCAGCTCCCCTGAATTCTCGATTCCAGATCTCTTATTTCTTCCTTTACTCCCTCTTTCTAGTGTGGCACCTCTTCCACTCACTTTCTGACACAGACTACATGAGAAGTAAAATCACTGAGACACCTTGGTTGTCTGAAATGTCTTTTAGTGTAGTGCCTAAGGCATTTGACTGCTAACCAGAAGGCTGGCAGTTCAAATCCACCAGCCACGCCTCAGAAGGAAGGTTGGACAATCTACTTCCATAGTGATACTGCCTCAGAAACCCAAGGAGGGGTCGTTAGGAGTGGGATATGACTCTACAGCAGTGGGTTTGGTTTTGTTTTGGAATCCTCACTCTTGAGTTTGTGTGGGTATGGGAAGCCTAGAATAATTTTCCCTCACAATTTTGAAGGCACTGCTCATTGCCTTCTAGGTTCTGGTGCTGCTGTTGCTGTCCAAAATGTCCAAATGTCCAAAATTATTCTGAGTCCTGATCCTTTAGGTTTGACCTATTTTATTCTCTGGAAGTTGGCAAAATCCTCTTTGTCTCCAGTATTCCATAATTTTATGATGATGTGCCTGATGTGGGCCTATTTTCATCTATTTTCTTGGGTGCTTAATCAGTCCTTTCAGTTTGGAAACTTTCTTTGGTCCTGCATTATCTTCTTGAATTATACATTAGATCATTGGTTCTCAAAGGGTGGTCTGCTGACCTCTGGGGTTTCCTTAGGCCCTTTCAGGGGCTCCATCAGATCAAAACTATTTTCATGAAATTAAGATTTTAGTTGTTCTTTTCACTGAGTTGATATTTGCACTGATGGTGCAAAAGCAGTAGATAAAACTGGTGGCACCTTAGCATAAATCAAAGCAGTAGCCATCAATCTGTACTACTGGTCATTGTATTATTATTATTATGTACCACAAATTCATGACTTAAAAGAAAAAAAAAAAAAAAGCAGTTTCACTTAGGAATGTCAAAAGTTTTTCTTAAGAATATTAGATGATCCTTGTTGTTGTTGTTGCTATGTGCCATCGAGTCAGCCCTGACTCATAGCGACCCCTCCTTGGGTTTCCGAGGCAGTATCACTACGGAAGTAGGATTGCCCAACCTTCCTTCCGAGGAGTGGCTGGTGGGTTTGAACCGCCAGCCTTCTGGTTAGCAGTCAAGTAGTGACTGGTATACCATCCGATCTGCAGCCTATACGACTATGAGACCAGAAGAACTAGATGGTGCCTGGCTACCATTGTCAACCACTTGGAAGGGGATCTATGTAGGAGATCCTTGATAGAGAGGGAGAACAATGTGGAACAAAACTCAAAATCATTTGGAGGAAAGAAAGAGAGGGACCAGGTTTGCTGTTCTGATAGAGCCTGGTGGAACCACTGAGACTCTGGCCCCTAGCTGCCCTTCAGGTCTGGAATTGAACCCACACCTGTGGTTTCCAGCTAAACAAAAGACATGCATATGAGTTGAACATTTACCCAAGGTAGATACACTCCATGGAGAGAACAATCATGGAAGAAAGAAGGGCTGCTTATGCACAGGGAAACAGATCAGGGGGCAGAAGTGCATGGAGGGATAGACACAGTGAAGAGGTGACTGTCGGGAGGAAGTGGGAAGGGAGCTGTTGCATTGTGGAATTGTGGTCACTGTCATGAGACAAAGTGTATGTGAACTGCTGTATGGAAAGTGAATTTGTTCTGTAAATTTCCACCCAAATCACAATAAAAATTTTTTTTAAAAAAAGAATATTAGATGAAACACTAGAAATGCTTACTCTCAACCCTGAGCACACTTCTTTTTTAACATACTATGTGATAACTTAAAAAGTAAACAACAAACTGGCAGCACTATTTGTTATCAATGATAAAATCTGAGCTATCAAATTATTGATTTTTAAATATTTAAATAACCAACCTTGTATTCCCAAAATAAACCCCACTTGGTCATGATAACACAACATCTCAAAAATCTGTGGGTTGCAACTAAAGCAGGGCTTAAAGGAAAACTTATAGTATTGAATGTTTATATTAGAAAAAAAGAAAGATCTCCAATCAATTATCTGTCTAATTTGACAAACTAGAAAAGGAAGAGCAAATTAAGTACAAATTAAGCACAAAATAAGCAGAAGGAAGGAAATAATAAAGAGAAGAGCAAAAATTAATGAAATAGAAAACAAATCATAGAGAACCTCTAATTAAGTCTTTGAGAAGGTCAATACAATGGTTAAACCTCTAGTTAGACTTACCAGGAAAAAAGATGACACGAATTACCAATATCAAGAGTGAGAGCATTATCACTACAGATCCTGCAGATTTATCTGTTGTTAGATTTCATTTGCTAAATTTTTGTTTAAAACTTTTGCATCTATTACATGAATTATATTGGTCTGTAGTTTTTTGTTTTTTCCTTGTCATGTCTTTGCCTGGTTTTGCTATGAGGATAATACTGTCCTCATAGAATGAGATACATTTCTTCTTCTTATATTTTCTGGAAGAATTTGTGTAAAAAATATTAAGTCTTACTTAAATGTGTAGTTTAATTTACCTTAAATGTTTGGTAGAATTTGAGTTTGGAGTTTCCTTTGTGGGAAAGTTTTCAACTGCAAATTAAACTCTTTACTAGATACGGAGATACTCAGGTTATCTGGTACTTCTTGTGTTTACTTTGGTAGTTTGTCTTTCAGAGAGTTGCTTTAATTTCATCTCAATTTGTTGGCATAAAGTTCTTTATAACACTCCTTTATGCGGCCTTTTAATAACTGCAGGATCTGTAGTGATATTCCTTCTCTCACTCTTGATATTGGTAATTCGTGTCATCTTTTTTCCTGATAAACCTAACTAGAGGTTTAACCATTGTATTGATCTTCTCAGAGACTTAATTAGAGGTCCTATTGATCTTTCTCTATGATTTGTTTTCTATTTCATTAATTTTTGCTCTTATCTTTATTATAATTTCCTTCCTTCTGCTTATTTTGTGCTTAATTTGCTCTTCCTTTTCTAGTTTCTCAAATTAGAAAGATAGATAATTGATTGGAGATCTTTCTTTTTTTCTGATATAAGCATTCAATGCTATAAATTTTCCTTTAAGCTGTTCTTTAGTTGCAACCCACAGATTTTTGAGATGTTGTGTTTTAATTTTTATTCAGTTCAAAATACTTTTTAATTTCCCTTATGACTTTTTGTTTGATGGGTTACTTAGAAGTGTGTTGATTAATTTACAAATATTTGGGGGATTTTCTAGACATCTTTCTTATTGATTTCTAGTTTAATTCCATTGTAGCCAGAGAACAGGCACTGATTTCAATCATTTAAAATTTATTAAAAGTTAGTTTTTGGTCTAACGTATGGTCTTTGTTGGTATACATTCAATGTGTAATTGAAAACAATGTATATTTTGCTATTGCTGGGTGACACGTTTTATAAATATCAATTAGTTCTAGTTGGTTGATAGTTGTGTTCAAGTCTTCTATGTGATTTTCTGACTACTTGTTCTATCAAGTATTGAGAAAGATGTAGAAATCTCAAACTATAATGTATTTCTCTACTTTCAATTTTATAAGTTTGAGTCCATGTACTTTGAAGCTCTGTAATTAGGTGCATATATTTAAGATTATTATGTACTCTTGAAAAAACGCACTTTAATTATTATGAAATAACGCTTTTATCCATGGTTATAGTCCTTATTCCTAAATCTATGGTGTCTGATACTGATAAAGTCATTCCCGTTTTCTTCTGATTCCAGTATTTGCATGGACATCTTTTTCCATTCTTTTTCTTTTAACTTCTTCATGTCTTTATATGTGAGTCTTTAATAGACATCATATATGGACACAAGGAAGAGGTAACTATCAGGAGGAAGTGAGAGGGGAGCTGTTGCATTGGGGTAAATAGTAGTCAATGTCATGAGACAAAGTATATATGAACTGTTGTATGGAAAGTGAATTTGCTCTATAAATTTTCACACAAATCACAATTAAAAAAAAAATCTGCAATAAATATTTAAGGGGTTAGGGGTTCTGGGAAAAAAAAATAGACATCATATAGTTGGTTCTTGCTTTTTATATAATCTGACAATCTCTGCCTTATATTTGGAGGGTTTAGATCATTTACATTTGATATGATTATCAATTTTGTTGTGTTTAAAGCTACCATCTTTGTTTACATTTGTCCCACCTGTTCTTTAATCATTCCTCTTTTTCTGACTTTTGGATTTTTTTTTAATTTAAATGTATTTTATTGAAATATAATTTATGTACAGTGAAATACACAAAACTAAACTGACAATGTATTTCAATGTATTTTTTTTTTTGCAGTGTTCCCACCCCTCCTCTCCCACCCCTAGCAACCTCCATATATAAACCTTTCCTTGACCCTCCACAACAACAAACTAATACTATATTTGTCCTTCTGTGATTGACTATTTCACTCAGCATAATGTCCTCCAACTTCATCCATATTATGCGGTGTTTTGCAGACTCTACGTTATTCTTTAGTGCTGCATAGCATTCCATTATGTGTATGTACCATAGTTTGGTCATACACTCTTCAGCTGATGGGCACGTAGGTTGTTTCCATCTTTTTGCTATTGTAAATAGTGCTGTGATGAACATGAGTGTG